ATCTAGGCTTTAAAGATGAAATAAACTTGCCATTCAGACTCCCTTTCTATGAAACACCCCTCAGTGTTAATGTCATAATCTCTGTTAGGGATAAACTTTTAACTCTGGTTTTTCAAAAATAATATTTGTTGTTTTTCTGATTTTAAAGAGATTACATGCTGATTATAGAAAATAGGTAAGATAAAGACAAATAAAAATGATAATTCTTAAAAAATCTATTGCTAATATTTGTTTTTTTTCATAAATTTTTATTATGATAGGATACTGATTGTTTTTTGTTAATATTGTGTTTTGCATTGAGCATCTTTCTTCCCCTCAAATCTTCTCAAACGCTTGCTCTTTAGTTGCTCTGTGACAAATTTCATAAGTCCCAGCTTTATTTTTCTGGGACATTCTTCTCTATATTTAGGGTAAAATTCGACAGTGCAGTCTATCTGCTCTCATAACTTTATTGTTGAGAAAATGTGGCTTGTGTTTTCCTCGGATTTCAGTGATATTATATATTGTTTATGTATCTCAGGGAAATTGGGCTAAGAAATCATTTAAGAATATGAGTTTATAATTAGACTCACAAATCTATTCTTTTTCAAAATTTTGTATCTGTTCATATTTACTCTTTTATAGAATTTAGAAAGGAAGCTATGTATTTTACTTAATCCTATATCCATAATACCTAGCACAGTTGTTTTTTTGCATAGCTGATAAACAGTAGATGTTTGTTAAAGAAAGAAGAAAAATACAAGTTCTGCTATATATTCACTTTCCAATTTTGGCTTTGTGATTGCCTTAAATTTATAAATTGATTTGTGAGTAATAAAAATTCTTAAAATGTGTATTTGATTTTTCAAGAACACTATTTCTTTCCATTCATCTTTCATTCTCAATAAAGAAATGTGTTTTTTTTTCTGTGACTCAATTTATTCCTAGACATTTAATTTTTATTGTTACCTTTCTGATTAGAATACTTCTTTCTGGGTATGCGGGAAAATTATATATATATTTATCAGCCACCTCACTCAACTCTTATTAGTGAGTTAAAGAAAAGCATCTGGACTAATGGCTAAGTTACAGATTACTTGTTATAATTCTCCCTTGCCCCATCTTCAAATTTTGACTGATTAAACATTACTATCCCAAGTTTCCCATAGCTTAGTGCCTAAGGCACTTGACTGCTAACCAGAAGGCTGGCGGTTCAAACCCCCCAGTCACTTCTCGGAAGGAAGATGGGGCGATCTACTTCCGTAGCAATACTGCCTCGGAAACCCAAGGAGGGGTCACTATGAGTCGGGTCTGACTCAACGGCACATAACAACAACATATAT